GACTCCTCCGAGGGTCACTCGGGTTTCTCTGAGCTGCACTTCTCTGGGTGTCCCTGGACTGTCCCGCAGTGCCTGACAGGTGCATCCACCCAGAACGCTCAGTGGGAGCTGATGCTGCAGCCGGGCATCCCTCTGATCCGGCAAAAGGGAGAATCTCAGGCCTTGCTTGGACCGAGTGCTCCTGCCCTGGAGCACTCCTCCCCGTGGGGTGGGGGAGCCCTGGGAACCCCTCCACCTCTGCCTGTGACAGTTCAGGCCCTCTCAGAAAGGTGCTGTCACTGCCAGGATTGTGACTCTGGTCACCTTGTGTTAAGTGAGTGTGTGTTTGATGGCTCCTATCCTGACAGCACTTACATTAAAGACACTGGAGAAATAATAGAAACTGTCCCATGCACAGAGCCTGGAGTTAAAACCACTCCTCACTTTGCACTTTGGCAGATGAAATTGTCCCTGTTCCTCTTCTTATGGATTCTCTTTGTACCAGCAAACCTGGAGTGTTGTGCACAGCCTGAAGAGCAGGTCTTTACCCTTCCTATCCCTCGTCTATCCATAGTAAACCTTGTTAAAGGGTCTGAACCGTGTCCTGGAGGAAAGGCATTTAGACTATGGCAAATTAAGGGAGAGGTGTTTTCTTTGTGTTTAAAAAGACAAGAGTGATGCCTGCTGTATTCCTTGAGATAAATGTACAGCTTCCTTCTGTCAGCACTGAGGATGTGTGTGGACAGAGGCACTGCCTGGAAAGGAGCTGTGCTACCCTACAAGGAGCTCTGACTTCTGTTGGGAGTTGGGGAGCTTGAACAAGGCATGTGGTGCTTGACTTCCAGTGGGCCTGAGCCTCCATGAACACCCTTCCAGCTGTCATTACTTAGTTCACCTTTTATTATTATTATTGTGAGGAAGACATGGAGCTTTAGGAAGGATTTCTCTCTTTGTTTCTGTATTTGCACTACAATAGATTTGGGAATTCCAGCCAAGTCTGTGTCCCATGTGTGAGGCAAGTTTTGTACAGATATAAGCAGAGGAAATTCTTGTTCACAAGAGCCCAGATAAGGAAAGAGTGATGTTTTTGTGAACAGGGATGGGTCTTTCCTGTGTTTCAGCATGACTCTGCTAACCTGGAAAGGGTTAAGACTAGTTTCACCACAATAATAGAGACAAATATCCTTACTCCTAGATAAATCCCATGGAAATTGCAACATTACTTCAAGATGAAAATGTTACTGTAAGTGGGAAAGTCTTATATAATGACTTATATATTTCTTTTATAAAAGGAATTGTAATTGTTAGTGGTATTATCCCAGAGCACTGAAAGAAATCAGATTGCTCAACACAAATCATGCTAAATCAAAGGAAAAGGAAACAAATTTACAATGCAGCTTAAGGAGACATCAGTTCAAAAGAGATAAGATGAAACCAAGATAGGGAGCTCTCAGTTCTCTAATGTTGCTGTAATCACTGAATCACAGGACTGGAAGAGTCCTTGGTCTTATGGCAGAATAAGATCTACCCTCACCATTGTTCCTGCAATAGAGGCTCTGTACATCTCCAAACAGTCTATTTTTATGCTTCTCCATCCTTATCATTTTCATATCTAACCTGAACTTTCCTTGCAGCATTCACTAAGCAAATCACGTTCACCAAGCACATCACTTCTTGTCCTGTCCACCACAAAACAAGGAGGCCAGATTGTCCTGGCAGTAGTCTATACATATTTAATGAATGTCTCTTCCATCCATTTGCTCTTCCTCTTCTCATTTCTTAGGCTAAATAACCTAAATAACCTAATTTCTGTCATTTTCCTCCCCATGGGTCACATTTTCTAGGTGTCTTTTCTGTTTGTTCTGGATTATGTACACTTTTTTCGTGACTTTATTTTCTTTCTTTTCCCTCTTTGAGATGCATACAGCTTGGCTTCGTTCTACAGTGGAAAGTTATCTTATGTCTAAGACTATACTTTGTGATCTGCACTCCTATTTATACATCCTGTGAGATATCTGTCATCCTCACACTTACCCAGAACTGATGACCTAATGAAACTTTGCTGTCCTCAAGGCTTGGGCAGGTGTCACTTGCTCCATATGTGCATAACAGCCTACATGAAGCATCTTGCATTTGCCCTCGCTGGAATGTATTGTACTTTTTCCACCCTGTATGCCCAATTTGAAATAGAACATGTTGAGTACTAAACCTGTCCTCCTCCATGCCAGCAGCCCTCCCCAGCTCTGTGCCATCTGTGTGTTTGGTGAGCCTACTCTCTCTTCAGTGGTGATGGCAAAGCAGTGCAGTGCCTTTAGGTAACAGTCGATGTGCTCATTTTTTGCCTGTATTTCTGAATCAGCCTCAGAAGTACTGGGCATCTTTGTGGAGGGTTACCAAGAGGGGACAAGGTCTTTATGAGCACAGGGACCCACTGCTGCAATGCTCTTGGCTCTGCAGAGTGAGGAGGATGCCTGACCATTCTGGGAGTAGGAAAGGGGGGAGCCTGCCACAGCCCTGGCTGCCACTGAAGGGTGGATGAGCTCTAAGTCCCAATAGAGTTCAGTTGGCACTAGATTAGAACTGAGCATTATTCAGTCTTTGTTGCTATTTGATTTTTTTCTTTTTTTTTAAAGAGCTAAATGACTTGGCAGTGCCACAAAATCACTAAAAGCCATTTAAAAATAATACTGTCACTAGAAGGCTTTTGAAGGATGAAATCAGGCAGAATTCATTCCTCTTCTGTCACCTGAAAGTTTATGTCACCCTCCTCTCCTTCTTCCCCCTCTCTACCCACAGCAGTAGCATTTCTGTACAGTTTAATGTTATGATATTTAATCATGCAAATAATGATCTCATTCAATTTAGTAGGACTATTTATGTCCTCAGGATTGTGAACCTGGCACTGTGCTCTGCAAAGCACTCCAGGGTTCTCCAATAAACATGGCTTCAATATCCAACACACTATTAAGGAACACTTGTGTTATTATACATCCTATTTATTTAAGTATAGACTCCAAAAAACAATTTAAGAAAGGAAAAGTGAACAACTGACATATAGCCTCTGTATCTCTTCATGTACACATGAAACATGAAACTTCAGTAATGATGGAAATGACAGAACATGAGCAAATTGGCCTAGACTGTCTCCTTACCTGCTTGGGGGTTTATGGGATTTTTTTTCCCAATAATTCCCTCTTTTTTTTTTTTTTCTCTTATGCTT